AGGGAGATCGCTCATGCTCTGGATTCAGGTAATAGCTGTCAAGAGTTACCCTTCATTATCACTTGGGCTAGGGAAGAATGCCTATCCTCTAGATCAGGTAGTATGCTCTCAAGAGGCGCCCTATGGTAAACTAAAATAAAAGTATATTCACCTCTCTTGCAACTAATCTCGCTTGCGATAGTTTCAGTACCTTCGATGCAATCACATATCGTCTATACCAAGTGCCATTTATTCCTATCCAATTACTTCCTAACGGTGGTGACTTTACAATCATTGAACGGTTTGAGGTTAAAAACCCCAAATACGACGCGGAGTCGCCAGCGTTTCTAAGGTACATTTCGAGAGCTTTTAAAGCAAAATATGATCGATCAGTATCTAATACAAAAGAAACTCTTTTCAGCATATTTTAAAATTAGTGTTTACCCGTCTTGCCAGGATATTGCATTATGTTTTGGATAATTACAAATAGGTTTTTTTAGTAAAGTTTATTATTTATTTCTGTATCATGTCCAGAACAACAATATAGACACGTCGAAGATCCATTTGAGTGGTTGTCGATCCTTGAAATTTCATTGGCTGCATATCGCACGTGCAGGGACGATGATTTTCTGGGATTTGAGAGGATTGGATTTGAGACGAATTTTACTATATTTGGGATTAGTATTTGGAATTTGGGATTGGGATTTGGGACAATTTTATTATGTTTGGGATTTGGGTGGGATTTTGAGGATTTATAGTTTTGCCAGCATGTATAAATACCAGTGTCTGAATAAGTTCCCGCAACTAAAATCTGAAATGCATATATAGTTTCGCAAATGAATTTGTAAAATTGCATATAGATATGTTCGAATAAAAATGTCATATGCGCAACTAAATTCATAATCCGCAAGTAAAGTTTTTTATTTAGTCGCGGACCCGCAACTAAATAAAAATTTGAATTTCAGACACCAATTCTGTAATTTAATGCGACGAAATTTTTTCTAAACCATATAATTCCGTAACTCTCTGACAAATGTTCTCGTAATTTACGTTAATTTATTTCGGAGTAGGACCGTCCCAAATTTGGGGGTCGTTGCGTTGTGCGATCACGTGATATGAGGCCAATCAGATTGTTTGTTTGCTCAACACGGATCAGAAAAAAAAGAAAAAAAGCGAGAAAACGAAGAATACAAGAAAACTAATGCCTAAACCTAATTGATGCACTAATAAAAAATGTCAGGAAGGTGATTTTACCTATAAAACATGCCCTAATCCTAACTCCGAACTAACTCTTAACTTTAACTAAATAGTCAAAAATAACAGGGGGAAATGTACCTAAAAATAGAAACACGTTACACAATTCATTACAATCGTAATTTATACATTTTAAAGTACTTTTTCACGAGGCTTGTGTAAGCCTTTGTCTCTATGAAAATGAGCAAGCTTAATAAGTGAACTTG